GGTCTTTTGTATCAAGTCCAACTTGAAAATAACCAGATTTAAAATCGATTGTGGTATAATATTCAGCTTGTGATAAATGATCGAAAATATCATCAATTCATGGTATTGGAAATGCATCTTTCGTAATAATATTGTTTAATTTTCTAAAGTCAATGTAGAATCTAACTGATCCACCTTTCGTACCAATACTATAGGTGATGACCACGGAGATATGGATTCTTCGATTATTCCTTCCTTCAATAATTTGTCTATTTCTTCTCGTTGTACCTGTTCGTCCTTGTATGAAACACGATATGCTGGAGTGTAAACTGGCGGATAATCGACAATGTTGTTTAAGTGTAAGAAATGTTCGATTTTAGAATATTTCTTCATATAAAGAACGAAGACGAAGATTTTTTTATAGAATTCATATGATTTAAAAATTGAGATTTATGTAATAATGGACAACATATGTTTAAACGATTAAAAAGAAATGAACGAAATAATGGTGAAAATATTGATGCACGTTTTATAAGATAATAAATATAATTCTTATTAAGTGTATCAAGGTATGTTGGACCAATTATTTCACTTGATTTATTTATTGTTAATGAATTAGGAAGAATATCATTATCACTATCATCTGTTATATCACATGGTGGTATAATAAAACTATCACGGTAACGAATTCTTTATAGAAGATAAAAAGTAAGTATTGAAACAAAAAATGGTATACGATCATTTTGATAATATGCGCTGTCAGGAACAATTGAAAACTATACGAGAAAAAGATATGCTGGAGATTATTTTATCTCATTTTACATATATTAATTAGTTTCAGTTGGTTTTTATGAGAGAAAAAAGACGATTGCAGATTCAGTTCCATGGAATTCCGGAGCTCGATCAATATACGATATCATTCCCAGAAACGAAGTTTATCGAGTTCCAGCAATTTTCTAAATTACATGAAATTACTAGTCATTTTGTCTTGACCTATCCAAGTAATTCTAGGACAGAATTCCGGGAATTAGATCGAGACAGAATTACTGAGAATCACTAGAAGTTCCTAGTAATTTCATGTAGTTATGTCTTGATCCAATTCCTGGAATTTCGTCACGAAATTGCTTTCAGCCTTCATCCTCACCCATTATAGTTTGGTCTAGTCTCTGAGGTATAACTCAGTAATCTGATGACGGAATTCCAGGAATTCGGTCGAGACGAAATTACTATGAATTTTGTGAAATTCTTAGTAATGTCGTCTTGACCGAATTCTTAGAATTCCGAAAATCAGGTCGAGAAAGGATTCCGCGGAATTCCGAGAATTGCTGGAACTCGATAAGTGTCGTTTGTGGCTATGATCTCGAGTATCAATCGAGTTCCTGGAATTTGGAACTGATTCCGCAATATTCACCGTCGCAGAATAGGATGACTGCTCTAAAGAATATAATTACAAATGAAGGTGATCAGATTTAGAAATGTTCGGCCTACAAAATCACATATTTTATTAAGGTTTTTGTACATTATATAAACCAAATTGCCGTTCCAGAATCAATGACTTGAAAAAAGTTGTTATTCAAGTCATTTCTTTTACACAATAAATATGCTTCTTCAAAACGCAAAAAGTCCCAACTAAATCTTTCATTTTGTAATCTAAACCATTCCCAACTCAACTACATTTAATTGAAAATGATAGCTTTTAGGAGAGAAAAATTATTTTCAATGACTTGAGAAAATAACGTATCCACATCGGTTGTGGAAGCATCTTCGCATAGATCAATCATAGAATTTTTAAATTTTTAAAATACATGTGCTGTTAAATTCTCTGCAAGAATAACAAGGAAAAATCCTATTGGATTGTTCTGATGATTTTTTTCTAAAGCTAAAAATGAATTCCAGCAAGATGGTGAAATGTTCGATTATTGCGAACGAAACAATGACAATAACATTCATAATTCATCGTTTGATACAACGATTTAATCACAATGGCTCTGCTAATGCTCACATATTACTCGATCGAGGACAAAATATTATAATATCCTGAAAAATTTTGTTTGAAATAAAAAGAAAACTTTTCTTGATGTTACTTTCATTTTTGTTTGAGATTTTTTCATTACTATTCTTGTAGAAAATTTCACGAGAGACAGTTTTACCGAAATCAAGATTTTATGATTTATCTGCGCTGATATATTTTGTAAAATACCTAATTTGGCAATCGTATTGACTCACACGACATGTAGAGGATAGTCAAAAAATATCCGATCTTACAATCTTTAAAAAAAAATCGTCATAAATGAAGAGATGAAAGCAAATTTCTTTCTGCAGTAAAGAGTAGATGTCGTCAGGAATCGGTGAACTTTAGATAATATAAAAGATCATCTGGAGATAATGAAACTTCCCTCTGTTCCGATCGTTCTCCCGACCAATGAAATATTCGCTTTGTATTTTTTCTTGCAGAAATACACAGTAGCATTTAATATTATGAAAATTACGTTTCAAATGGAACGGTTAATTCAACAGGCTCCAGGTTCAGTGTTGCACAACATGATGGACGCTCAACTTCTTCGTTATTCTGATTTAGTGAAAGATGTTATGCTATGTTAGAAGAACTTCGTTCATCAAGGCCCTCCC